AGGGTGTGCTGGGGCTTTGCACAAATGCTGAAACCCCAAAGGCAGGGTGTGCTGGGGTTTTGCACAAACAGCACAAGGCTGCTGGGCTTTGTTCCTTGAGCTTTATTGCAGCACCAGCCTCATGACGTGGTTGTGACAACTGGAAGGTGACAAAGCTCACGTCCTGCCAGAAGCAGACAAAGATTTCTTTGTTCCAGAGCATTTAAAAAACTTTCCAGCCAGCAGCACATGGGCAAAGCTCACAGACAGTTGTTCTAGCCAGTCACCAAAAGCACTCCTACACCTCTGCACAGAATGTTTGTTTGCTTTCTATTAACAACACACAGGATGGAATTTGTGGGAGTCCAGAGCTTCCCTCTGGCTGCCCTGGCAGGTCTGGGACCCTGGCAGGGGTCAGGAACCCCCCTGGACAGAGCCCCCAGAGACACTGCCTGTGATCTCTGACCATGTAAAAGAGTTTTCCATCTCTCTGAATGAAGAATTCTCCTTCTTTTTCCTTTTATTTTTGATAGGGATTTAATAATCAGAAATGACTTTGCCTCGCTTAGCAGGTAAAGGATTTGGGAAATTGGTTTTGCATCTCACAGAAGCCCCAACCACCAGAGGCACTGCTCACAGGGCTCCAGGAGCCCAGGGAGCTCAGGGGACAAAGCCACAGCAGCAGCCTGAGGTCCCCAAAGGCCAAGGGTGGGCAGGGAAAAGTCTCTCTGCAGGTTTATTTCGGTTCCTGCTCAATCCGAGTGCAATTGGATACGTGCTGCTATGGAAACAGCAGCCTCGGCCCCAGCAGGGTGTGCAGCCATCTCCAGGGAGCAATGGGTTTGGGGAAAATCTCTGGATTCAGGGAAAATCACCCCAAAGCATCCCCGTGGTGCTGGGGGTGCAGGGGGCCACGCTCAGACAGGGCAGGACCTGGGGACACAGGAGCAGCACACCCAGAACTGGGGGGTCCTGTCCTGGCTGAGGTTAAAATGCCAGTGTGAGCCCAAGGGGGGTGATGCCAGCGGGGCAGGCACTGCCAGGGGGAGTCTGCAAGGGTTAACCTGGCAGCAAACATCTCATTCAGGCCAGCAAAGAGGGGAAAATCGCTGGGTTTTAATCTACTTTGTCTCCAGAAATATTCCATAAAAGAGGGGGAAATAAATTCAGGGGAGGAGGGGTTTGTGGGCACCCTGAGAGCAGAAAAAGAGGTAAAATTAATCCTATCAATAATCCATGATGAATGATTCACTCGGCTCTCTTATTCACAGGCGCATCAGTTATCTGTATTCACATGGAATTACACTCCTCGCATGGAATTACACACAGCCTCATCTGCATGGCAATGAGGCAGCCCAGGAGGGCTCCATACCCCGGGAATCCATCCCTGTGCTCTGGCAGGGAAGGGAAGGAGCTCTGCAGGGCAGAAGGACAAACCCCAACCACCCCTCAGCCTTGGGAGCATGGCAGGAGTTGGATTTCTGCTTCCCTTGTGGTTTTCTTCCAAAACTTCCTTGCTGGAGCAGAGAACCAAGTGTGAATTGTTCATTAGAAAGAGGATTTTAGGAGAAAAAAAACAGTTAAAAGAAAAGGATGGGAAGTTCTGTCCCATTTGTGTGGCCTACAGAGAGAAATTGAGATGCCCAGGGCTCAGGAGAACTCTGCCAGGAGAAGTCTCATCCTCACACTTCTGAGGGATTGTTTAGTGGTTTCCAGCCCACAGATTGTAAATGTGGAATTTGCCTCCAGCTCTGACTCTCCAGATGATGCTGACATGGTTGCCCCTTGCTTTGGTTCCACCTTTGAGATAACAAATATCTCCAAGGGTCACTCTGAGAGGGTCTTTCAATGCCTGCGAAATAATTCTGTGCCCCTCCAGTGAAAGCTGGACTGACAATGTCTGTGTTCTGAAGAGTGCTAGTTACACTGGTAAAAATGACCCAAATGTTCAGCTTTACAGCTAAAAGTCAGACCTGCCTTAAACTGGGTTTTGGATTTGTGTCTGCAGGTATAAATAACCTGTGGGGAGCGGATCAGAGCGCTCTGCAGCCAGGGAGGGCTCCTACCACAGAGGGCAGAGTTGGATTATTTAAAAACCTGTCAGTTTGGGAATCACCAGGGTGACCCTCTTCTTCCTGACCATTTCAGTTTTGAGCTGGCCCCCACCTGGCTTGGCTGAGCACTTTCAGCAGGACTCTGGGAATGTGGATTCCTGCAATCCGGAGTGTTCTGAGTGTGGAAAATGGGAGGAGAGGAGGTGGTGACAACACAGAGGCAAAATTCTCTGTAAGGACAAGCAGCAGCCCAACTGATGCTGTAAATCAGCTGCAGACCAGAATTTTCCCCTGCCTCTCCTCTGATGTCCCTCAGGAAATCCGAGCAGTGGGAAATCCCAGGAATTCAGCTGCTGCATCCCAACTTTCCAGCCTAGTTCTGGGTACCAACTGCTGCTGTACCCCAGGATTAGTGGGGGAATCTCTGAGAGGGAGGGGGAAAACTTGCATTTAAAATGGAACAGAAGGAAAGTTCTTCCCCAGGGGAGTGGGAGGCTGCGTGATCCAGCAGTGGGTAAAACCCTCAGAAAATCAGTGTATCCCTTTTGGATAAAATCCCTCCCACGAGGGGCAGCAGAGCCAGAGCTGCTCCCTGGGGCTGGATTTGTCCCTCTCTGCTCCTCAGGGGCAGCAGGGAGGGATGGGCAGGGCTGGAACTGCACCTGCAGCAGCAGCAGCGAATTCCTCTGCAGAGGGGCTGTGATTCAGTCCCGATGAATCACTCAGCCACTCTCCTTCTCAACCAGATCTTGGGATTCATCATTGTTAGAGCAGGAGGAAAAGGAGGCGGGGAGGAAAAACGGGAAAGAAAAATAAAAATCCCTCCAGCGCTTTATCTCCCTCTCTAATTCTTGCCAATTTTCCTGTTTAAAAATTTAATTCCTTTTTTTTTTTTTTTAGGCATCCCGTTCAGGTAGAATGAACTTTTGCTGGTGCTGGAGAGGAAGATGCAGTGGGAGGAGGGGGGATGGAGCATGAGCACAGCTGGGGACAGCACTGGGGCTCAGCTGGGGACAGCACTGGGGCTCAGCATGGCTCAGGTGCAGAACAGCCAGAGGGGGAAGGGGCTGGGGCTCTGCCTCCCCCTGAGCAGCTTTAACCTGCCCCAGGGCACTGCTGGCCCTCAAGCCACTCAAACACTGAAATGAGAGCACAGAAACCCATTTAACCTCAGTTAAACCATCCTGCAAACTCAGGATGGGCTTGGCTCAAGGCCCCACACTCTGATTTTTCCCCTTTGTGCCATTTTTCCCCTTTAGGAGATGCTGCTGGAGATCCTGGCTGGGAACACTTTGGAAGGCAGGCAAGGAGCTGCTCTGAGCACTCAGATCTTGCCAGGAAGAACTACAATTGTTTGCTCCATGACGAATTTATGTATAAATTCAGTATTAAAGCCGGAGGCTACACTAGTGAGTAGCTACCACTAGTGTCTACTATTAGTAAATACCAATAATATCCAGAAAACTCACATCAGTACCATGGAGAGGAAAATGCAGGCAAACCAAAATTGTTTCAGGAACTCTTTAACAGTTCCACTCAGACCAGCTCCATTCACTTCAGTTTTGGTCCTTTGAGGCTGAGAAAATCCACACTGTGACAAGGTGTTTCTTCATGGATTGGATGTGGTTTACTTTTGTTAATGTTATTCTTTCTGTGTCTTTCAGTTTCTATAGTGATGGACAAGCACATGTAGCACGCACGCCTGGGTGGTGTTTGCCTGCACTGTCTGAAGATACCTCCAAATTTTGGAGAAATACATTGAAAAATCTTTGCCAAAACCCCCCAGATCTTAAAAAAATTGAGTCCTATCAAACAAGTTGAAAATGTGTTTAAAATACATTTACTTTTTGATGTATTTTGTCAGCAAGCAGCAGGTATTGCACTTCTGTGGGTGCTCTGGTTTCTCCTGCATCCACACACAACTGGAGATGTCCCTTTCCCAGGGCAAGGACCTCAGCTGTGATTAAAGGTCACGGAAATGCTCCAAACCAAATGACACCTCTGCCCCTGAGTGTGCTCTGGATCTGCCCGTGATTCCAGCGATCTCTGAGAAATCCCAGCCCTGCAGTGAGTGTACAAAAGCAGCTTGAAACCCCCAAACCCCAAACTGTAGCTGCAGAAGTGAAAGGTGCAGGTGAGCACATCTGGGATGGAGCTGCTCAGATCCCGGGTTTGTGCTGGGTTTATTTCAATGGGTATTTTAAAAGTTCAGCTGATGAGCCGGTTGCAGTGTCCTGCTCTGCCAAGACTGAGCTCTGTTGAGGGTTTCAGGGCCAGATTTCATCTGCCAAAGCTCCAATAATGTCAGAGGAGCTGGACTGATGCTCCAACTGAAAAAGCCTTCACAGCATGCTTGGAAATACCACCGATTTTTTGTTTGTTTTGAGAAATCCATTTAAAGATCTTTGCCAAAAACCCCTCAGATCTTTAAAAAGCGTTTCCAACAGACCAAGTTATAATAAGATGGGCTTGCTCCACTTCCCTTCTGCACACAAGCAATCAAACCAAACCACCGATCCCTGAAGCTGCTCCAAAAGCGAGGGAGAAGCATCGGCGAGAATTCACTGGGATAAAGGGAGATCCGCCCTGTCCCAGGGCTCGCACGGCTCCCGGGGCACTCGGGGCGAGCTCGGGGTCGGTGTCCCGGGGAGACAGCCCCGGGCGGGGCGGGGACGGGGCCGGGCACCCCCGCTCCCCGTGCGGGGCGGGCCGGGGGCGGGAGCTGCCCGCGGAGCCTCGGCCGGGAGAGAGACCCGTACCCACACCTGGGCGGGCAGAGAGACCCGCATCGCACCCGGGCGGGCAGAGAGACCCGTACCCACATCTGGGCGGGTAGAGAGACCCGCACCCACATCTGGGCGGGGAGAAGGACCCGCACCCACACCTGGGCGGGCAGAGAGACCCGCATCGCACCCGGGCGGGCAGAGAGACCCGCACCCACACCTGGGCGGAAGGGAGAGACCTGCATCGCACCTGGGCGGGCAGGACAGACCGCATCGCACCCGGGCGGGCAGAGAGACCCGTTCCCGCACCTGGGCGGGCAGAGAGACCCGCATCGCACCTGGGCGGGCAGGACAGACCGCATCGCACCCGGGCGGGCAGAGAGACCCGTACCCACATCTGGGCGGGCAGAGAGACCCGCACCCACACCTGGGCGGGCAGAGAGACCCGCATCGCACCCGGGAGGGCAGGACAGACCGCATCGCACCCGGGTGGGCAGGACAGACCGCATCCCCACCCGGGAGGGCAGGACAGACCCGCACCCGCACCTGGGCGGGCAGAGAGATCCGCATCGCACCTGGGAGGGCAGGACAGACCCACATCCCCACCCGGGAGGGCAGGACACACCGCATCGCACCCGGGAGGGCAGGACACACCGCATCCGCCCCTGGGCAGCGCCGGCAGCCTCCTGCCCATCCCGCCAGGATGAGCGGCCGCGCCGGGGGAGCCGCGCCGGGCGCCGCGGGGCTCTGCCCCGGCCACGGTGAGCAGCGGGCGGCGGAGGGAGCGGGCGGGCGGCGGATCCGCTGCGGAGGGTGGCAAACCCGCTCGGGGGGAGTTCTGTTCGCCGGCATCGCAATGGGAGCGCCCCTCGGTAGCGGCGATGGTGGTGCGGGTGCGGTGCCCGGTGTCCCCTCTGTGCAGTGCCCAGTGTCCCCCGGGTTCGGTGCCCGGTGTCCCCTGTATGCAGTGCCCGCTGTCCCCCCGGTGCCGTGCCCGCCGTCCCCTGTGCCGTGCCCGGTGTCCCCCCCGTGTATGGTGCCCGGTGTCCCCTGTATGCGGTGCCCGGTGTCCCCCCGGTGCCGTGCCCGCTGTCCCCTGTATGCAGTGCCCGCTGTCCCCCCGGTGCCATGCCCACTGTCTCCCCGGTGCCGTGCCCGCTGTGCCCCCGGTGCCGCACGGGTGAAGGTGGCAGCGAGCAGCCCCCGCTGGGCTGAGCGGCTCCCGCGGGCAGCGAAGCGCCGGGATGGGCAGCACGGAGCCGCAGGAGCAGCGGGAGCGAGGTGGGCAGAGAGCAGGAGCCCCTGGCACAGGGGAAGTCACCGGGAGGCTCGGGGGGACACGAGTGGGAAACTTGGCTGAAGTGAGGATGAACGGCTGTCCTGGAGGGGCTGAGAGGACGGGCAGGTTGTGGCGCTTGGGGACACGGCTCAGGGGTGGCATTGACAGTGCTGGGGGAACGGCTGGACTCGAGGATCTCAGAGGGGTTTTCCAGCCTTAACTGTTGTGTGATTGTGTGGTGAAGGTGTTTTCCAGCACTCTGTGCTATGCCAGGGTCCAGAGTGCAAAGGCTCTGCTCACACTGGGGCACCTCGAGCTCTGTACCCGTTCTGAGCTCGTGTCACCGAGGTTAAAGCATTTCTCTGCTGCTGAAGCTCGCTCAGAATTACCCCAGGGTGAGGGAAGCTCGCAGGAGTCCTGCCCGAGCCTGGATGCTTTGATTCAGCTGCTGGGAGTGCAGCCACTTTGTGGGTCCCACTCGGGGACAGACAGAGCTGTGCCCACGAGTGACAGAACAGAGTCACTTCCTCAACCCTGGAGCATCTCCCCGTGCCCCAAAGCAAACTTCACCCTCGGAAACTTGATAGAAGGGTGAGTAATTAAAACATTACCCAGCTGCAAGTTTGTGCTGCTTGAGGGCAGTGAGGAAGGAGCCAAGTCCTGGTTTGCTGGCTGGAGTGTGCTTTGAAATGTGTGATGTCATTATGATTTCATTTCATCTTAAACCCAAAATGTTCTCCTCTGAATGGGAATATTGCTCAGTGTTTTTAGAGGATGATTTTTTGCTGTCCTCTGTTACTGCAGTTGGCTGGTTTTGCTTGGCAAAGGCAGGGTGGCTCTTTTGAGGAGATTATTTGGATTTTGTCAGTGTAGCAGCAGAGAGTGATGGGTGCTCTGGCTGAGGTCATTCTCCAGGGAAGAAATCCAGGGATGTGCAGCAGTTGTGCAGTGCCACTCCATGGGGGAAGAGCCACAGGTGTGCCCAGGAAACAGGGAGCCAGGGATGGGAGCATTCCCAGCAGGAATGGGGACTGCTGTGATGGGCAAGGAGCAGCAGCACCTTCCTCTCCTCTGAGATGTTCCCTCTGCCTGTTGCCTCTGCCAGCCTGACCTTGGCTCTGTCAGTGCTGTCCCAAAACGCCGTTAGAAAACAAACATGAGTCAGGCTGAGTGTGCTTAAATAACTCCTTCTACACCAAGGTGTGTTTGTCTTATTTCCTCAAGCAGCCCCTGACTGGGACAGACAGAAAGGGCTGAGTTTGCCCAGGACTTTGTAAACACTGATTTGAAAGTAAGAGTGCTCTGACTGAGCCTGCTGCTCATTCTAGGAAGTCTCCAAATCGTACATTCAGCTCCTCTGTGCTGATTTATTAAAAAATATGGATATTGATCTAGTATCGATATCCAACTGTGATGGACAAAAACTCTCTAACAGTTTAAAGTTAGAAAGTGTGTGTTTATTGTGTGTGGGACAGCTCCCAAATGCACACCGCACCCTCCAGGTGATTACAGAGTCTTTTTATCCATACAAGTATTGAATACACAAAATACAAATACATATTCATAATTTTGGTACATCCCATTCCCCACTTCGTATGCTAATCACTCCAAAAGCCATTCAGCATGTGTAGTTTGTCCCTTGAAATGGGTCGGTGTCCCTTTCATGGGGAGGGGTCCCAAAATGAGGAAGTAAATGAAGTCTTCCTCGTTCTGACCTTTCTACCTTTTCAATGCAAGTATGACAAATGAACTCTTGGTAAAACTCCCATTCCTTGTCTTCAATTGGTTTCAGAACAGAGGAGGCCACAATTGTCTTATGTTCCTAAAAGCTCTTTGTCAGTTTGTGTATTCTTCATTATAAACCCAGCTAACTAAACATTGTGCTGACAAGCAATCAATTATTAGTTAACTACTAACTCCTAACTTCATCAAGGCCTACTCATTTATTATTATTATTTTAATTAACTCTAGTAAGGCTTATGTCTAACTAAAATCTTAGCTCTTCAAAAATCTCTAAATGCCTTAAAGTTTACGTTTCAGTGCCAACTGTGCTCCTGAAGTGCCAGCAGTGCTTCTGCATCCCCCCCTCCTCCTCCTCATCTCCATCCTCTGGAGCCAGCTGGCACGCCTCTGTTTTCCAAGTTTGCTCCCCTTTTCCGGGAATTCCAGGAGGTCCCAGGCAGGACAAAGAGCAAGGGACAGGTGTCAGCCAGAGCGGGGCTGAGCCCTTCGGGCTGGAAATACCTGGAACTCGTGGGAGGAGTTTGCAGGTGAATTCGGGGGAGATGCAGCTGGATGTGGGACGGAGGATGCAGGAGCCTGTGTTGGGAGTGGGGCTGAAGAGGGGCTGGGAATTGCCCCCCTCTCCTTTGGGGACAGCTCTGTCCTGCTCTCCACACTCCTGTGCCCCTGGAGACAGCAGCAGGGGGGACAAGGAGGAGGACAAGGTGAGGACCCCAGTGTCCTCTGTGGGGACTCAGCAGTGGGAGGGGGGTGGAATGAGTGCCAGGAGGGTGTGAGGAGGCAGCACCTTGCCCTGCACATCCCACTGTCACCCTGCACACCCGGGAAATGCTCCCTGTGGGTTTGTGTGTGGAGGGAAAGGCAGGAGAGTGCCATCCCCCAGCACCTGCTGCTGTGCAGGGCTGGGGAAGCACGGCAGGATTGCCCCTGGGTGGGTTTGTTCACAGAGGCAAAATGGAAATAATCAGAGTTATTCCACTGGGGAGCCCCTCTGCCTTCAGCTGCCTGGGGATCCACAAAGATTCAGGCTGGATGAGGTTGGATCAGCAGGAATTTCCCCATGGAAAGGGAGCTCAGGCACTGGAATTGCCCAGGGAGGTTTGGATCCCCATCCCTGGGGTGTCCAAGGAAGGTCTGGAGGTGGCACTGGGTGCTTTGGGATGGGGACAAGGTGGGGATGTGACACAGGTTGGACTCGATGGGCTGGGGTGGCTTTTTCAGATGATTCTGGGATTCTGTGACTGCAGTGAATGTTGGTGTAAATTCTGAGAACCCCGTGTAAAAAAAACCGGGATGACAGTGCCAAGTTCTGGGGGTTAAAGAAAATCTCTCATGGCAACACTACTAATTAATATCCACTTTGGGTTTCCCTGCCCATTTGCAGAGAAAGACACTGATGAGAGTCAGGTTGGAGACTGCTCTGTTCTGATCTTGTCATTCCTGTGCCCCATTCCTTTTTTTGAGTCTCTCAAAAAAACCTCTTTCTAAAAAGACCAATACACCCAATGAATTGGTGTCAATGTTTCTTTGTAAACCTGGTGGATCCCTCGAGGAAGCAGAGTGTGAAGAACCTCTTTGTGGTGCAGTTTATGGGAAAGGGGGGAAAATGCTTCATGGCTTTTACATTTCACTCCTTGCACTTCTGTTTCTGGCATTCCCTGGTGCACTTTTTGTGGGACTGCCTTTATTATATTGGTATTTGTCAGGGAGATGTTACCTTTGCCTCAGCTGGGGCAGAGGATGGGAGAGGGATGATCCATGTGCTTGTTCCCTCAGCTAACACCAATCCAACCCCAGGATTTGCAAAGCAGCTGGCTTTAATCTGGTCTTGTTGTGTAATTCCATTAGGCTTATTTTTATTAGAGCCCATAATGTAATTGAGGCCCCCCTCAGCCTTGAGGAGTGGCTGCAGGGAGAGACAGGGCCGGCAGGGCCTGGGGAAAAGCAAATTACTCTGCAGGAACACGACTGGAGCTCGGGCAATTTGATGTGATTAGGGAAACAATTAGAGAAAATCGCTGGAGGTGCGGTGGCCCTGAGGCTCATGAGGAGATGCTGCTGCTCTAGAAAGTCACCCCTGGGCACAGGCTCCTGTGCCCAGCCTGGCATGGGGAGCTGAGGGTGAAAAGCCACTCTCAGCCCCTCTCTGTGGGTGATGTTGGGTGGTTTTGCCCTGCCCTGGTGCGGCCAGGAGGGTTTGGCTATTCCCAGATGGGTTTTGCAGAGCTGTGCCTGGGTTTGGCTGATGCAGAGGGGCTGGAGATGGACCTGCTGCACCGAGCTGAGCAGGGAGATCATTCTCCTGCTCTGGGGCTGTGTTTTCCTGAGCTGAGGCAGCAGCTCAGAGCCCTGCCTTCAGTTCAGAGCAGCTCAGAGCCCTGGGTACCCTGTGCCTGGCCCTGCCTTCAGTGAATCTCATCCCCACCTCCTCCCTCCAGCCCTCACCTCCAAAGGCTCTCACCCCCACGAGTTTTTTGGAATCAGTGAGCTTTGCACAGACCCAAAACCTCTGAAAATGGGGTCTGGGAGATCCCATCCCAGCTGCAGGCAGGCTGGGCCAGCAGCACCCTGCGTTGGGGCACAGGGCTGGTGGCACAGGGCAGCAGGGCCAGGGTTGTGTCCCAGCTCAGCAGGACCCCCTGAGGCACCTGCAAGGCTCACTGTTAGCTTGGACTGTGCCCTGCTTGGTTTGAGGTGGCACAGACAGGTCCTGTCCCGCCCAGAGCCCGTGGGGACAGG